CCAAAGAGGGCATGTGGGAATCGAGCTGAGCACCTGTCCTGAAAACACTGGGGTTGAGGCAGTGCTCTGCTCTCAACACTGCATTCCAGACTTGTTCTGTCCTACAACACGGTCCTAGCTGAGAGCTCCATTGAGAGAAGAGTGGTGTGCCCCAAACCATCCCTCTTTCAGTCCTAAGAGGTCCTCTAGCTTAGTCTCCAACTCAGCACTGTGTGCCCCAAGGGCCTGGGGCTCCAGTTAGGAATCTAACACTATAATCCTTTTAAACTGAAAGCATTTTCAACACTGATTGATGGCTAGTTGAGAACATTGCTTTCATGTGGTGTTGAGAAGCGTAACAGAAATTTCTAGAGGGGTGACAACGTACTGAATTTTGATGGGGTTTCAGAGCATGGTAAGGCACTTCTAAAAAAAAAAAACATGACGTTCACCCAAAATAGGTGCATTTCATTGTATATAAATTTTAACTATACCTTGAAAATTCCAATGGATATCCATGTTGGAATACCAAAGGAAATATACTGTTTGAAATGGATTCAGATGGATTAACTGCAATGGATAGATGAAACTTAGATGCTAATACAAAATTCGGGTGGTAAATATACTTGTCTATAAAATTCATCATTTTGTAAATGTTGAAAACGTTATTCAGTGTCTTTGTTATCATAAACAAATTGCTCAATTTGTGCAAGTACATAGCAATCATGACAGGTAAACATTCACCCACAAATCCCTCTTCTACTACAATTTCCTAAACAGGTCCAGGACCCTCTTGGGCAGAATGAAGCATGGTCAATTTGACCAATTGGTTAGATCTTTGTTGTGAAAATCAAACCCTGTGCTGTCACAGCAGGTCAGCAATATGAGTGTTTTTGGTTTTGGTTTGGTTTCTTTTTGTTTTTTCGAGACAGGGTTTCTCTGTGGCTTTGGAGGCTGTCCTGGAACTAGCTCTTGTAGACCAAGCTGGTCTCCAACTCAAGAGATTCGCTTGCCTCTGCCTCCAGAGGGCTGGGACTAAAGGGATGCACCACCACCACCCGGCTGAATGCTTTTTTAAAACAGGAAAATGTGCAAACTTGTAACTAGCTTTTAATTGGAGCTGGGCATGGTGGTTCACACCTTGGGAGGTGCAGACAGGAAGATCAAGGGCTCTAAGACAGCCTGGGCTGCATGGGAACCATCTCCAAAAACATCTATCAATTCATATAAATTTAATATCCAGTTGACTTTCTGAATTCTTTCCAAATGGTATGGAAGAAGGATAGCATTTGCCTTCCTTCCAATAGCCATGAAGGACTGAATTTTGTTGAGTCTTGGATATAGAGATGCTTTGCACACTGGCTTGGATGACACAAATAGGGTTAGACAACCCCACAGTCCTTGGTTGGGTTTATGTGATAGAGTTGGTAAATGCAGATACAGGACTCAAATCAAAATCTCTTCAGCTCAAAAGCAATGCTTTCACTTTATATTCTGTATTTAAGTTTTGATACCCAACGTTCATGTAACTGCAGAATAGCACCAGTCCTCTGGCATAAAATAACACTGGGCAATAGTTCCTAAGAGCAACTTCATGCTGTACTTCATTCTCACCAAAACCCATCTTTAGTGACACTTTTTACTAACCCTGATAAATATGAGTCTAAGACTTGCCAGTACAGGCTGGAGAGAATGCTCAGTTAAGTCGCTTGATGTTCTTGCAGAAAACCTGGATTCAGATCCCAGCACCCAAAGGCAGCTAACAACCATCTCTAACTCCAGTTCCAGAGGATCTGATGCCTTCGATCCTCTACAGACACCAGACATACATATGGTGCACATACATGCAGGCAAATACAATTTTAAAAAATCAATAAAAAGTCTTATATCTCCTCCAACTTTCGGGGCAGTTCAGTATTTGATCTACTTAAATAAGGGAATTTTCTATTGCTTCTTTATTATGATCACTTAATGATATATATACCCTGCATAAATCAGATATAGTTGTTATCCTATGGTATAATGGACCCTCGTCCACCTTAAGTTAAACCAGTTCTACACAGTGATTACCAGTAGATGGCTCTAGTGATGACAACTTTTGTACGAGTAACCCAACTGGTCAGAAATCTTTAGTCTTAGGGCTAAATATTTCACTCATGTGGGAATTGTGTTGAAGATGGAATTGAGATCTGGAGATGAAGATGGTATGCCCTGTGCATCCCAGGTAATGAAGGTCAATGCCTCCAAGCCTACTTTTCAACTCATTTTCCCAGACTGAGCTGAATGACAGGCATATGAGATGACACAACCCACTTCGTGAGCTAAGCCACATTTCAACCTGGCCCTGCTTTTAGGTTGGACAGTTCTGGGACAGCCCTGGACCACAGTAAGCCCTGCTCTCAGAAGAGTTCTGATCCCAGCTTTGATGTATTTTTGAGTAATCCTATTTGAACCTAAATTAAAATTTCCAGCATTCCTATGTAGAGGGCCTAATTATCTCTATTCAGGAACACTTGCTTCAGACAATAATTCTGTTCTCTAGTGTAACATCTTTCTAAATTCTTTTTTTTCCTATTCAATTTCTGTCGTAGATTTACAGAAAAGGAACTGAGAAAAACACATGCAGCTCCACAATCAACCTGTCTCACGGTGAAAGGGCTGGGAAAGGACAGGGGACTAAGATCTCCCAAGAGTTTGATGCAGGTCTTTCTGACCTGGCTCCTTCCAGAGGGGCAATCCACACTTCTTTTCAAAAAGCTTCATGGAAGTTATTTAAAGTGAGAGCTTTACCAAACACCTATTCCAGGTTACTCCATAGGCAGTTTGAGGACCAGAAAGCTAACCTAGCTTGAACCCAGTTGGGAATTTTAAATACAAGGATCTTTTAATTTTAGCTGGAATCTCTAAGCACAAACTTTTAAAAGCCTACCAATATATCCCTTCAGTGTGTGTCAGTCATCTGCATATCTAAGCTACTACAGATAGTGATGAAATGTCACCTCACCCTCAATGCAAAGGGAACTGGTAGAAATGTTAGATATCAGACTGAACACCTCACAAAGGTCTAAGTTATTGATTCTAATTTCAGGTCTAATGTGAGCATGGAAAAGTGCTTATTAGTAACTTAATGGACCTGCTTTTGAGTCTGAGGTCTATACTTATAGAAATATCAAGTGATTGTTCATTCAGAAACCTGGAATAATTTGGCTATAGCCTTCAAATTCAAATCCTAGCATTTTTCCCAATAAAGCAAACTTTGAGGTATCTATAGAACTTAAATATAGCTAGAAAGCTTCTTCCTTGGGGTATAATACATTAGTGACTGTGCTGTTTTCAAAGGTCACAATTAGATGTGAGAAGAAGCATGCCTCAAGTGGTAACCACTAAAACCACCCCATGCAGAGGCTGTTTGATGACTCCCCCCTTAAGATCACCATCTAGAACCTCAGCACACCAGGGTCTCACTAGCCCTATCTCTGCCCTAACCCCCTACCATCCTTGTACTAGAAACTCACTGAGCCATGTGGTCCTTATCTACTAGAATAATCCAAGTGTCTGCAGTTGAGACAGGGAAGTAAAAATTAGGCTTAAACAGTGAGATGAAGGATTGCAGTGATGTTGGCATACACTTGTTTGGAGAAGCATTCGGTGGCTTCCAGTGCTTCTCAGTCTTCACTAGAACCTCAAGAGTCACACTCACCCTAAAATGGCTTCAAGCAAACAGCCATTATACTAATGATACCCAAGAAGGGAGGCATTTCAGCCACTGCACTGACAGGTCAGCTACCCCTGTAAATGAAAACTGGTGTTCCTTCAGACTACTGGACTAGACAGACCATTCTGTATATAATCTGTTTACAAAATATAAAGCACTAGTCACCCTTCAGTCTACACTTTAAAACTAATACCAAGTTACTAAGACTACGGAAAAAAAGCAAAAGGGGAGTTGGTGGAGTACAGGAAAACCTGGGTGTTTAAATGCTTCTGTGAAGGCAGACCAGCCTTTGGCCATCTGGATTTCACCTTTCCCTTTCTAACCTGTGGCAAGTCCCCCATACATCAGGACAGACAAAAGGGACAAGCTGGCCTGATCAAATATTGTTTCTCCACTCCAGAACTGTCCCTAGAAACAATAATAGGGACCCCACCCTGGAAATGCATTTCTACACTATATGGTTTTTGGTTCACTGGGTCTTCTTGAAGGCTATGACAACATTTAGACATCTGAAGGCACCAAACAGGAGGAAGGTTGACACTTTCTTCCATAAGTTCTTGAGGAGTGGTATCCAAGTAGACTGGGAAGGCAATTAGTCATTAGGTTTGGATGTCACTTTGCTTTGGTTGTGGAAGTTTCCTTAAGAAAAAGAAACTTGTTAATAAGGCAAACCACAGAACATGCTAAATTCCTGAGATAAATGTCAGTGATAACATCTTAGGCCATGCTCTACCCAATCTCACTATCCTTTTTTTTTTTTTTTTTGGTTTTTCGAGACAGGGTTTCTCTGTAGCATTGGAGGCTGTCCTGGAACTCACTTTGTAGACCAGGCTGGCCTCGAACTCACAGAGATCCGACTGCCTCTGCCTCCCGAGTGCTGGGATTAAAGGCGTGCGCCATCAAGTCCGGCCCAATCTCACTATCTTAGTGTACACTGACATTTCCACTCTGAGCTGGGCAATTCCTTTATGAACATTCTGACTGCATCACAAGATGTGACTATCATTCACCAGAAGTTACTGTCATTCCTTCCTCAAAGTGTCATCTCCTCAATGGAGTTCAGCTGCTCCTTGTCCTAATCATGACTTGCCTAGCATCACAGGTGACAAGAAAGTCAAGTCAGAACTGAAGACCCAGAGATCCAAACCTTACCACACTTAAATCTGTCCAAGTTTAAATCCTTTAGATTTACCTGTTACACCACATCCTGCCACAAATAAAAGTACTGCTCCTATTTCTTAAAATTTCAACGTTAGTTTATACTTTATTTTTATTTAAAACATCTGTAATCACCAAACACAAACTATTTTAATTCTTAGGTAACTTTATTGAAGCATTCAGTAATGGAAACAAAAAAAGCCATAATCACATAACCAAAATAGTTATAATTATTAATGTATGAACAAATGACCAATTATCTATACTATCAAAGCCCTGCAACTATAAACCCTAAGTAAATTTCCTGCAATATCTCAAATGTTATAATAATCTCCACATGGAGCATAATACAGTGCAAACTGAAAATTTGGTAAATGGAAATAGAATAATATCTAGCACAGGTTATGTCCAAACGCTACAGAATTTGAACAGAAACTTACTTATTATACAATGTGAGGCCAGGAGAATCAGCAGACACAGAGATAGGAAGCAGCCAGGCTGAAGCCGACGCAGCTTCAGGAAACTGAACTGGACTCTCCGTGCTTGGGGAAAGAGCAGAGCAGGCCGCTGTGCTGTCAGTAGAGCAAGACATTTACTCACGAGGTAATATTTAAGGAGACAAACTAACATGAAAACATTTACCAATTACCCACCCTACAGTGACGAGACTACCAGGACACACAATTCCCACCTTAACATTTCTGAGAGAGAGCACTCAGGAAACAGAGACAGGTGGATTTCTATAAGTCAGAGGCTAGCTGGGTCTACAGAGCCAGCATCAGAGAAATCCTATCTTGAAAAATAAAAATAAAAAAAAAAAAAAACAAAAACGAACAAAAAAAAAAAAAAAAACCCAAAAGAAACTGAAGCACATGCATTCCATTAAAGAGAAGCAGTACCTATTCTTACTCCAGCATTCTTACTTCTACCTGACCACCTGACCCAGGTTGTCACATGGCTATAAGAATTCAATCTGAATTGTATTTGCTACAATATTCATCTACCACATGTTTTCTGTTTTGTTTTTTAGTAATCAGATCAGCCTGATGTGGTAATTCACAACTTTAACCCCAACAGCTGGGATACAGAGGATGGACTAATGAGATTTCTGTCTAGTGTGGTATTGTAACTGCCTCCAATTACACCAGTATTTAACATGGTTGTTTAAAAAACAACACAAAGATTCTGCTGTAAATTTTCTTCAGTGTAATTTTAATGTTTAAATTTAACAAATATTAACAGCATTATCTTATAGTTTTCTTCTAAAAACTACTTGTAATATTACCCATTGTATTCCATAATTCTGGGAAGAGTCTGGTTTTCTGGTAACTAAACAAGAATGTAGGCTGTGCTTCTGTCCGTGGACACTCTCAATGGCAGGCCAGTCACTCTAGAAGTCAGTCATCCCTGGACCACAAGCACTCAAAGCACTGTCAGCACGGGGCAGGCTTCTGCTTGGGGCTGCTATCACTTTCGCCGGCCACATCCCAGTTAAAACAAAAGAACATTTCCCATGAAATGTTATGGCAAACATTACAAAATGTATGCAGAAGACTCACAGAGGCTGTAAAGCTGGTGTTGTAAGTCGCTCACCCTTGAAACAGGGACAGGTTTTCAAGTGATACCCAGTAAGTTCTTGCTCTAAAAATGAATGTTCCTGCTTTCAGAGTTCCTATTCTTCAACAGGATGGAACTGAGCAGCTCAACATTGTGCAGTAAAAATCAACCAATCTTCTTAACAAACACAAAATGTAACAGGAAACCTTTAAGAGACACACTTTTCACAGTTAACAATAAATGAAAGTGCATTAAGTATTCAAGTAGGGCACATAGTTTAAATACTACATGAGTCTCTTGGGCTTCGGTCATCTTCTAAAAGCTCTCCTCGGATCCCTGGCATTGCTTATTGTGGTCATGACTGTTTGACTACTTTGAGTTCCTGGAAGCGGTGAGTTGATGTGCTCCAGATCACTGCTTCTACCTGCATATGGAAGATGATATCCTCTTGATTCAGGCCCAGTCTGAACGCCATTTCCTAGGAAGAATACAAAAAATTATCACCATTTTCAGAAGTGGTCTATATTATACTACAGAAACACAATCATGTAAAGTTGCTATACACACTATAAATGCTTATAAGTATCATGGAGAACAAGCACAATCATTCCATAATGAGAAAACACATAGGCTCTGGGACTAAGCAATGACTTTACAAAACACATCACCTTAGTACTGAATAAATAGGAAGATAATCTAACTTGAGGAATAAAATTGGGAATAGAATATTATTTTAAAAAATTAATTGCCTATACTAAAAAAAAAAAGAAGGGAAGCAGAGATGTTTGAGTACTGGCGTTTGACTCAAATACAATTAAGGAATGTTCCAATATAATCAAACTATGTGCAGACAGATTTTCCACAATGTGAGCTGGTTGCAAATGTCTTCAGCTACCCTAATCAACTCCAATCACAGAAAGATGCATCTCACAAGGCATACTCCATTACTTAAAGACAGACCTTTTAATAGGTAAGGTCTGAAGAGGATGATTCCTCTTTGTTAAAGTATTCACTGACTGTATTCTGTAGTACCATTTGTCTATGCAGGTTCCAGTGTGTCAAAACAGCCAGTAATTCCACATATATTACAAATAACCACTATATCATACACATTTGTAAAAACACACAAATAAAAGATCTTGTCAGAGGGTTACCACAATTACTCTTAGTAATCAATGCTCGGCATAATGGAACACAGTGTTGATTCAGAATGTGCTCAATACATTGACCTACTCCTACAAAGTCATTTACTCGGGTCTCCTTGTTTACTGGAGTTCCTGTTTAACACTGAAATCATACAAGAAGAAATTATTTTCCTTTACATTTTTCATAATTCCCATAATGTGTACATTCCATCACAGAGAAAAAGTCTTACCAAAGGTTCCAAATGTACCAGCATTCACTTTATCCTTCTCATTTTGTACCTGAAAGAAGAGTAAATTAGACAAATGAAGACAAAGTAACTCAACTTTAAGGATTTAAAAATGATTTTCAATAATACTTAAAGACATTCAATGTTAAAGCATTCAGAAATATTTCCCAAGCCTCTTAAAAATTTTAATTATACGCAGTATTTCCTGATGCTATCTTTACTCTGCAAAATACTAAATAGCACATATTATCTATTGTCAAAAAGTATATACAAGCCGGGTGGTGGTGGCACATATCTTTAATTCCAGCACTTGGGAGGCAGAGTCAGTCGGATCTCTGTGAGTTCGAGGCCGGCCTGGACGACAGCCTCCAAAACAATACAGAGAAACCCTGTCTCGTAAAAAAACAAACAAAAAGAATATACAGACTCACAGATCTATGTAATAAAGGCACCTTAAAGATTTTTTTTTTTTTTTGAGACAGGGTCTCATATACCTCAAGTTGGCCTCAAACATGCTATGTAACCAAGAATGACTTTGAACTTCTTTCCTCCTGTCTTCAAGCTCCTAAGAAAAAGGACTTCAGGCATGCACCACCAATGCCAGTCTGATTCAGTACTGGGGCAGAGCCCAGGACTTCATGCATGCTAAGCAAGCAGTCTATTAGTTTAGCTATATCGCCAGTCCTCAACATCATTTTCCTTATACTTGAACATCAGAGCTTTAGCCTACTGACAGAGTTATAGTAGAGTCAACTTAGCCAATCATAAAAATATGCCATGTATTTGTATTAATTACCGAGTTGTTCTGCTGTCCTCTATAATCCGGGTTTGGCTCACTGAAATTTGGCAGTTCTGAATACACCATACAAAACCTAAAAGAAAGCAACAGGCAAGTTAAATGCTTTCTGAAGCTTTTTGTACAACATCCTTAACTTACAAGAATGAAAGCCTTATGTGTCAAAGAATGATCTTAACAGTAGCATGCTAATTCAATTGTGACAGAAATTTCCCAAATAGCTATAGCCCATATTAACACCCAACTATTTGATACTCTCATCGAATCCCTTTTGATCATTCACTGTGTATCTGCAAAGACACTCAAAGCTACAAAGAATAAATTCCAGATGATTAAGGTAGATTAACTGGCTAGCAAGTCACCACCTCATCCCAGCACTCCCTGTAATTGACCACACAACTTGGTACCCTGCTCACACATAAGCATTTTCTTAGCTTTTCAACTATAAACTACATCCAGTTTGAGAAAATCTTAAATTGACCCTGACAAAGAATAGGCATGAGCAAATGAGTGACTTAGTGTGGTTGTCACCTAGCTGCAGCATCTCTGTATATAAAACCATCTAGCCAGATCCTGTAACCCCGGCCTAAACACTTCATAACACATGACTCTAAAGAGCTCCTCTGGGGCTCCACAACTCAAACTCAGCTCTGAGTACTGAAAGTGTTTAAACCAGTTACCTATCTACAGCATGAGACCAAGTTTCCAAAAGCCAAGTAAGCAGTTTTTACTTTATACAATTCTTCTGCAGACATTATTTGAAACTTCATCATACAAATGTATTTTAATACGTACTCCCCAATTTTTTGAAGTTCACCACCTCTTCCAGTATAAAGTGTCAGGCATCCTTTCCACATTGATGCATACCTACAGGGAAAATAAGTATAGTTTTCTAAAGAAAGTAGAGCTCTAATAAATTTTCAGTGTATTTTTTATCAGGTAGAAGTGCAAATCAACCCATCTATCCACCATGTCAAGACAAATACAGTCCATGTAACTCTGATAAGAACTTAAACAAAGACAATGCTACTGGCACATTGACAATAGTTTTTAAATTATAGCCCTAGGAAAACAGTTTTGAGCACTAATGCAGACTGATCCAGGCCTTCCTTGCACATAATGAGGCAAGCAATCAGCCACTAGGCTACTATATTCCTGGTTCTTGTTTTTAAGCCTTGTATTTAGACATCTCCCTATGTTGCCCAGGCTGGTCTTTAACTTGCTCTGTAGCCAAGTAGTCCCCAACCTGGCCATCTTCCTGTCTCAGCCTCAGGAGGAACTGATCTGTCAGCCGTGGGCCCCTATGCCTAGATTGAGAGAAACTTGAGCAGGCATGCATGGTGACACATTTTGAATGCCAGCACTGAGAAGGCTGAAACAGGAAGAACTCAACTTTGAGGCCAGCCTCAAGGAGAACTGGAGGAAGAGAGGGGAGAAGTTTTTTGTAAAGCATGTACTGCTGCTCCTAAATGTGCCTGTAGTTAACAAGGGGGAGGGGCTGCGTTCCTGTCAGTGAAGAACCGCTCATTGGTCAAAGTTCTCCAAATTATTTTAATAGAAAATCTAACTTTCTCAATGAACTGTGGGACTACAATTTAAATCATTTTAAAACAGACACCTAATTCCAACAGAAGAGATATCTGTAAAATCCTCTACATTTCACATTTACAGGAAAGCACACTTAACACTGACCTGTGTGTAGCTTAGTTAAGAGCAGAGGAGGAAGGGAGGGGTAGGCAACAAGACCCACCCAAGTCAACACAGCAGTTAAAGTACACTCTGAGGAGCCTCTGATAACAAATTCAGTATTTGTGTTACCTTCCAGCCACAAAGTATAAGGATTCAACATGAGTGTTTTCTTTCACACTCATTGACATGGTCATGGAAGGCAGACATTTTACTCCTACATCTACAGACAGTCCCCGAGCTCGACAATTTCTGGTAAAACTTTATCAAGGAGGGGGGGGGGGGACACTAATCTTCGTCTTGCTGGCCTTTCCAAACTTTGCAACTTTTGGTTTCAACATAATGGACCCAATTGTTTATTTTAAAAGTGGATGACATCAGTAAGTCTAAGGAAAATATAAACTAATCAGCTTAACAGAATCAGGCTGAAGTCTGGTTTTTCAGTGTTTCTTTGTACAATAAAAGAAGGTAATTTCATGGATTATACATGGCTTCTAACATATTTTATCATATTATAGTCCTCACCAAATTCTCTTTTGTAGAAGTTAAGGACATGGAAATTACAAAGATGGAATTGTGTCACAATGACTCAGTGTTTGAGAATAAGATGGCTAAGTCCTGACTCTCACAAACTTCCAGCTTTGATGATACTTTACCTCACTTCCTGAAATGTCATCAGGCCTGTGAGATAGTATCAAAGAACTCCTACCCAGAGGACTCAGCACTAGTTATTTCTCTGAGGCTCTCTTAGCCAGCATCAATAACCATTTTTCTGGTAGCTACCAATAAAATTACAGTTGTCCCAATCACATAAGCTTCCACACTTCTAAGATTCTTTCCCTGTCTTAAGACTAACATTTGAGGAAAATTTCAACAGCTGATGAAAAACAGTGCTCTGTCTCTATAGCCAACAGTCTGCCAATTAAATGTTCTGAGTGTATCAGATGTCTTTCTGCCACTTTCTGTGTATTTGGGTGGGAGGGTGGTGTGAAACATTGATCTTACAGAAGAAATCATTTTCAAGAAAGAATGAGTATGCAAGACGCTGTCTTCATCTGTACTGAATACAAATATGACCACAGAAAATGTCCAATGCGAGCTGGGGCTGGAACTCAGAAGGCAGAATGCTTGCCTGGCACGCAGGAGGCCTCTGGCTCATTCCCAGGACAATTGGGTACATCCCTGTAATCCCACCACCTGGAAGTGGAGGCAGGAAGGTCAGAGGTTCAAACTCATTCTCCTGGGCATCTTAAAGTTCAAAAACAACCTGGAACACAGGAGACACTGTTTCCAAAATGAAGGTAAAGGAAAGAACCATAAATTCCCCAGCCTCTAGGTTTATGTCCATACCACCTAAATGAAAGGTACAAATAAAGTGTTGGCAGGATCTCAAGGCACTCAAAAGGGAAGGAAGTGAAAGACATTACATCAAATAAAGGCAGTGTGGTTACCAGCCTACTAAGAAGTCTCACTGATTCCCATACAGTAGTTTTAAAAATTAACCTTAAAATTTGAGGGGCGGAGTGCACCCCCTCCCTGAAACAGTGCTGAGCCACAAAAGGTGAGCTGTTGCCAATTCTGCCCAACAAAACAGTTCACAGCTTCTTGAAATAGCCCATGGAAGAGCCAGGCCAGGCAACTCAGAACTTGGCAGGACCCCAGAAGTTGGCCAACCCCACACCTACCCCAATGTACCCACACCTACCCTCTGGTCAAACGAATAATATCCCCTGTCTGTATGAGTCCTCCGATTTCATCCCACACAGAAATAGTGATGCTTCCCGTTCGGTCAGCTACTTTGCAGGATCTCACTTCATGGCCATCTTTGGTTTTGGTCACGCGTCCTGTTAAGAATATATCAACGGTGGGAAGGGAATGTTAGATAACAAGTCCGTTCAGGGCAACTACCTCACCCTCCTAGGACACACTACAAGACTGTCTTCTGTCCCGGGGTAGGAGCCCAGTCCGGGCTAGGGTGGCTGGGAGCACGTGGGGGCGCAGGCAGGGAAAGAAGTCCGAGCTCTCCAGAGTATGTGGCGGGCTGCGGACCCCACTTACCTATCTCCAGGACAATAAAGACGACATTTAAGTTTTTCAGTCCGGCCTTAATGTCTTTTATAAAAAGAGGAGGGTCGTTGACCCCAAGCATACTGATGCAGTTGCGGCTATGCAGCAGAGACCTGCTGGGCAAAGCTTCCCACCCTCCGGGGCCTCGGGCAGAGCCAGGGGCAACCTGGGGCGGGGCTGGCGACCGGTGTCTAGAAGCGGTTATTCGGGACCGGGGAAACCAGCCCTGGAGGCACCAAGCCAAAAGAAAAACAAATTTTTTGGAGGGGGAAAAAAATAAGACGCTCACAAGTTCCAAAATCAAAAAGACGACGCACTCCGGACACCGAGTGGGCGGCGAGCAAAAAAGCGTGCGGACTGCCGCCCCGGCTAAGGAGAGAGGCAGCAGGGGACGGCCCTGCCTGAGTGGAGTCTCGCTGTCCCGCACACAACACAGGCGCGCGACCCCTTAGTCCCAGGCTCCAGGAAAGGACCGTGACAGCAAAACAGCACCGCAGGAGAGAAACCAAACCGCACGTGTATTCAGCAGTGACTGCCGAACGCTGCGGCAGGCCGGCTTTATTAAACCGTGCTCCGCCCTTGTGACGTCACGCCACGTTGCCACGCCTCTCCGGGCGGAACGGAGCGCCACTGTCTAGCGCAGCCTCTCTAGCTCTTCCCCTATTCGAGCAAGTTCCGCCCCCAGACCCTCCTATCCGCGCTCGGCCACACCCTCCTTCTCTCTGTTCCGCGTCATCTTCCGGGTTTCTGTTTGCCTCTCTTTGAGAACCCAGGCTTCTGTGTGCTCCTAGGGGGTCTTCAATCCTCCATCCTTGCCCTTCTGCACCGCGAATCACGTAGAACGCTGGTGGGCCGACACCTTCGGTAGAGCAAGGCAAGGGTGTAGTTGAGAAGGAGCAGTGCTCTCCGGAGAGGGATCGAGGAAAGAGACATAGGCTGCCAGGCCCTTCCTGCCTATCCCAGAGAACTTCCTACTTTAGACATGTTTAAAATTGGGATCCAGCCTACGAAACAATACAGAGAAACCCTGTCTCGTAAAAACCAACAACAACAACAAAAAAATTGGGATCCAGAAAAACGAGATCGCCTCTTAAAGATCTTCGTATGACTTGTAAACCTCTTTTCGTGCTGAAAATAACCGTAAATAGTTAAGTTCCACAGTTTTAACATTTTTCTTTAACCCTTTTAACTGGTGCTTGACTTTTATATAACTAAAACGAGTTAATCATGCAATAACAACCGGTAACCTTAAAACATAACCTGAAAGGGAGGGGTGTGAGCTTTACAGACAAATGAGCTGGAGCTGGTGGCTAATTTAAAGGTTAACCTTAAAATCCATAGTTAAGCTTCCTTTATGTTCTCAGACAGTTACTTCATTTGGACCCTCCAGAAAAGGGTTTTTTGTTTTTTGTTTTTATTGTTGTTTGTTTGTAATACAAGCAAAACATTACCATAAAAGCAATACAATACTTAAATTTTTCTTCTATGAAAGGATCAAAGATGAACTTTTTTTTTTTTTTTTTTTTTTTTGGTTTTTCGAGACAGGGTTTCTCTGTAGGTTTGGAGGCTGTCCTGGAACTCACTTTGTAAAAGTTTAAGAATAGCCGAATCCAGGCTTTGGTGGCACACACCTTTCATCCCAGCACTCTGGAGGCAGAGGCAAGCAGATCTTGTGAGTTTGAGGCCAGCCTGGTCTTCAGAGCAAGTTCCAGGACAGCCTCCAAAACCACAGAGAAACCCGGTCTTGAAAAAAAAAAGTTTTAAGAGTAGACATCAAGCCATGGTAAGAAAATAAAGGTGAAGCATATCTTTAATCCCAGGGAAGACCAAGGCAACCGGATTTCTGAGTTCAAGGTCAGCCTGGTGTACAGTAGGAGCTCCTATCTCTCAAAATTAATATTAATAATGGAGCAAAGTGTGGCAGGGGGAAAGCGCTAGCCACTCCATGAATTCTCTACCATTTGCCTGCCTGACGAGGATTAAGGGGGAGCCAGAATTACAAACAGTTTCACAAAGAGGACCTGAACACGCAAGACACCAGGTTCTGCATGGATCTGGGCCAGATGAGGTCCCAGTGCTGAGAGGGGAAGTGGACACAAACTCCTATCCCAAACCCAGGAGCTACCTCCATCTGATAACTGCTCACAAATGAAAGCTTTTCTCCCAGAGTCTCAGTAGTCAATCAAATCACTCTTAAGGCCAACACAAAACCAGCTTAGCGGTATTTTTAGAGGTTCTTTGTCAGGTCAGGGCTTTTCTTGTTACAGGTCATTTTCAGATATATTATGGTTTCTGGTTTTGTGGTTTTTGTGGGTTCCTGTGTGCAAATGTGTGTCTCTGAGGCCATGTGTGTTTCTTGTTCCTTTTCTTTGGCTCTTCCGTTTGTTTTATCCTGTTCTTATTTGGTTTTTTATCTTGTTTTATCACTACTTTCTAGATGCCTGATTGTCTTCTAACTAGAAAAAGAAAAAGAGTGGATTTGGATGGGAGGGAATGTGGGGAGGATATAGGAGGAGCTGGGGAAGGGAAGGGAAGACATAATCAATGTATGAAGAAAAAAGCTATATTTGATAAAACACACACACACACACACCACCACCACCACCAAAGAAAGAAAGCAGGCCCTATGAAAAGCAGAAGCTAGTGCAGGCAGCTGGCTCCGCCCCTCCCCTCCCTTCCTTCCCAGGACAGTCACCTGATCCTCCCTCACTTAGTCCCCTAGCCCAGAACTCCCACCCTGAAAACTACAGTCTCTTTCTCACTAACCCAAAGGCAGCATTTGGCAGCATTGAGAAACTGCAATAAGGAACACACAGTTCAATGGAAAGACATAGGTTTCATGTACTCCTAAATCAGTCCCCAAAGATGATGGCTGAGACAAAAGTAAAAGAAGCTGGGTGTGGCCTGCCAAGCCCTTCATCCTAGCACTAGAGGCCAGGGCAGGCCAGCTGCTAACCTGGTCTACATATACAGTGAGCTCTGACCCAGCCAAGGCTATACCATCTCAAGAAAGGAGATAAAATAAGGAAGACGGTATCAAAAACTCTTGCTGGGACTGGAGAGGGATTCAGCCTTTAAGAGAATTGACTGCTCTCCCAGAGAAGGCCCTGGGTTTAATTCCCAGCATACACAAAGTAGCTAACAATTGCAGACAATACATACATGTGGTACACAAACATGCATATTGACAAAACACCAGTGACACATTTTTTAAAATCCTGTTATGCTATACTCAGTCTGACCATTTCCTACGTAAATGTAGCATACATTAGATGTGTACTCTATATCTGGCATTGTACACTTACAAGTTCTTTATATTCAGTAGATCCCTCTGTGATATATATTTCATGACACCTCAGTTATAGAGCTGGGATTGAAAACCTTATGCTTGTTCTGTTCTCCTTTTATTCCTTTTCTTTGATTTTGTTTTTCAAGACAGGGTTTCTCTGTGGCTTTGGAGGCTGTCTTTGAACTAGCTCTTGTAGACCTGGATGGTCTTGAACTCACAGAGATCTGCTTGCCTCTGCCTCACAAGTGCTGGGATTAAAGGCATGCACCATCACCGCTCAGCAAAAGTATTGTTACAAAACAAATCTAAACTGTGATTTCTTTGTTTAAACGGCTAATTGTCTTTTTTTTAATAGTCCCCAGTGCATGAGAGGGGGTTCTATGGCAGTGGAATCTGTAGTAGGGAAAAATGTTTTAGTTTCTAAAGGAAGACATATCCTTAAGATTAATCCAAATCATATATATTATCATTTAATGATGGGATAGGCAACATTGGTCTCTATGTTACAAAAAAGCTTGTTTCTAGTATGTTGTACCTCTCAATAGTTTCCTAAACGTACTATGTACGAAAAAGAAGTGGTGGTGCACACCTTTATTCCCAGCACTTGGGAGGCAGAGGTAGACATCTCTCTGTGAATTCAAGACAACCCTGGGCTACAGAGCAAGTTCCAAGACAGGCTCTAAAGCTGTACAAAGAAACACGATCTTGAAAAACGAATAAAAAATAAAGAAGGAAAAAGATTATCTCCAAAGGAAATAACTGGAGACATCATGCTTACTGGTTGAGGTAATAAAATGGTTTTCATAAAAAATGTTCGCAAGTTGGAAGATCCTGGAGGTGGGGCCTCCCATGATCAGTCTTTCTGAAAGGAGAAACAAAGAAAAAGGCCACAGGCTTCTGATTTATGGATACCTGCCTCTTATTTTGGAACACTGTCGAGGTCACACATGCACATAGTCACCTTCAAATCAACATGAAGATGGAGTCAATGCCCTATATTAGGGTTGTCAAGGGGAATAGAACTGTTATAGTAAAGGGGAATTTATTAGAATGGCCATGGCTGTCTCCTGACAGAAAGACCAAGAATCCAGTAGTTGTTAGTCCATGAGACTGTATCTTCAGGTGACCTTCAGTCCCAAGGAAGTAGCGATTCCAACATAAAATCTTTTATTTTGAGGATCAGAAAATACTAGCCAGAAGATGTTAACAGGAATTCCAACTATACTTCCTAATGACTTCCTGTGGTCCAGTCATAATCACTCATGGTTAACAATGTTATGAAAAGGACAGTCAATCCACAACTGAACTCTCTCAAGGTGGGACTGCCATCAACAGTCAACATGTTTATAGAACATCCCAGGTGACGATCAATGTACAACCAAGCCTGAAAAGCACAGCAGGTTAAGAGATATTTTAGAACAACAACAAAAAATTCCATTTACCTATCAGTTACCTGCACCAGTGTTTTGTACTGGTTAAAATTTCTGGGAGGGAAATTCCTGAGTGTGACTATATATCATATTCCATCTGTGGAATTTTGAAAATATATTTCCTTGTGTACATTGTATAGGCATTAAACATAATTAACCCATTGGTACTAAACTTACCTTTGTTAGGACTGAGGCTGCATCAGAACACAAAAAGTGCAAAAAAAAATCCATGATTTTATGGAACTGACATTCTAAAGGGGTAGACAAAATAACGAAAAATAAAGCAAGGGATAGACATGATTCTATAGGTAAACGATCGGAGTGTTCAGAGAGTCTGCAGGTAGGCCTGAAGCCACTGGAGAGCTGGAGTGATCAGGATGCCTGAGGAAAGATGTAAGGAGGGGAACAGCCAAGGGTTATTTGGGTCTAGGCAGCAGGCACAGAGAAACAGCCTGTTCATGCATCATTTTCTAGGGAGAGCAAGAGTCCTCTGTGACTAAAGCAGGGAAAGAGAGTCTAGAAGCTGAGAAGGAAGAGAGGAGGAAATCACACATACAGGGTTTGTATAGTCTTAAGATTTTACCAACAGGCAAGGATGCATTTAACTGTTTTGAGATATGGTCTGATATGCTCACATGGTTGGAAGCAGGGCCATCTGGAGTTATATTAACACACTTGAGGTATGGCATAGCTGACATTAGCACAGTAGTAGGGCCCATGGCACACTGGGCTCAGTGGGCTCAGGATGGAAGATAAAACCACCAGATGACTGTACTATGGAAATAACGTAAGAAGAGTTAACTATGACTTTCCAATCGAGTCTCAACAAA